TGCAGAGGGTGCTACTCTCAGGCTTTAACAGATGATGGCAAAAGCTCTCTTATCCAATAGCAGCCTTTCCCAAGCCTAGATAAACAAACAGCTGTAAGGGAAGGAGATTAGTCAATCTTTAGAGTTGTGAGTAGTTAACTAAGAATGGTATTGTGGGGAGGAAGAGATAGTGCATTATTTTCTGAAGGCAAATGAGAAGGACTTTGAGATTTTCTTTTTTTTTATTACCTCATATTATGGGGTACAATATTGTTAGGTTACATATCTTGCCCTGCCCCCTGCCCCCCACCCGCTATGCCAGAGCTTCAAGCATGTCCAGCCTCCAGGTGGTGTGCACCGCACCCACCGTGTAAGTACGTACCCTTCCCCTCCTCCCCCCTTCCACCTGCCCACTTCCCATTACAGATTTTTTTTTTAGACATTTTGGTTACAGTGTATATTTTGCCTCTCCCTAAAAAGGGATAGAGGTAATCCCTTCCCACCCACAATGCTCACCACATCCTTGAGATGTGGGTCTCCCCCCCAAATCCCTGTTGAGCACTACCATTTTTTGAGCATCATAGTTTTAGTCAGTCAGTACCAATTTGATGGCGAGTAGATGTGTAGCCCATTTTCTAGATCTTGTGTCGTCTTGCTTTGTATTAGGGGCTTAAACTTAATCCAGAATAGCATAAATGGTGCTAGCTCACTGTCATTTCTTAGGATTGAGTAATATTCCATTGTGAGCATATACAACATTGTAGTTATCCACTCATGATTTGACGAGCACTTGGGTTGTTTCCATGACTGTGCAATAGTGAATTGTGCTGCCATAAACATTCAGGTGCAGATGTCTTTATAATAGAATGTCTTATGCTCTTTGGGTAGATGCCCAACAATGCTATTGCTGGGTCAAATGGTATTTCTATTTCTAGCGGTTTGAGGTATCTCCAAATTCTTTTCCACAAAGGTTGCACTAATTTGCAGTCCCACCAGCAGTGTAAGAGTGTTCCTGTCTCTCCACATCCTTGCCAGCATTTGTTGTTTTGGGATTTCTTAATACAGGCCATTCTCACTGGGGTTAGGTGGTACCTCATTGTGGTTTTGATTTGCATTCTCTAATGATTAGAGATGTTGAACATTTATTTACATGTTTGCAGGCCATTATTCTGTCTTCTTTGGAGAAGTTTCTGTTCATTTCCATTGCCCATTTCTTGCTGGGTTTGTTTGATTTTTTCTTGTTTATTCTTTTAAGTTCTAGATAGATTCTTGTTATTAGACCTTTATCAGAAGTGTAGACAGCAAATATTTTCTCCCACTCTGTGGGTTGTCCATTTGCTCTAATGATTGTTTCCTTGAGATTTTCTTACAAAGATTAGGAACGTGTCTGAGAAAGGATGTGTGGTAACTCATCCCCTGATTGAATTATCTGCTTATTGGATTTGTGGATTTGTTTTGTGCCTATTTAAATAGAAGGAAAATAAAGTTGTAGAGAGATAGCAGTGCTCAGTGTCCTTTTTTTGTGACAAGGATGCTTGAGCTTACTGAGGGTTCAGTGGACAGTGCAAAAGACATCCAGGCTTGAGTCTTCCTGCTGGCACATCACTCACGTGGGTGGCCCACTCTGTGAGGCACATCTGACGTGCACGCTATGAAATGTACTGCTGGGGAGGGAGCTAAGAGGCTCTGGAACAGGCAAGACTAGAGTTGATACTCCCGCACTGGGACTATGCTGTGGAGCCCTCAGAATTGGTCAAGCTCTTGCATATTCCTTTGAAGAACTCAAATATGTATTTATTCTGTAAGACATTTGGGTATCTGCCCTAGATGACATAAAAGAACAATCAGTCTCAGGTTCTCAGAGAAAAGGCCCTACCACTAACAGAGAAGGGAAATTGCATGTCCCAAATCCATCCTCCCAGCCTTAGCTCAGTGGGAACTGTAACAACATGGACAGTGTGCAGGAAGGAGACGCAGGCAGCACTTCCTCCCTGTGCTGGGTCCGTGGGCGTAAGAGCGGCTACTGGGAGAGCTGAGTGTTTTAGAGGGGTGGCATGAATGTTTTTAATAATTTAAAGTGACTAGAAAAGTGTGGGTTCTAAGATATCATTAAGGGACAGGGAAGAGATCTGTGTTAAACTAGCTCATGTTAAACTAGTCTTAAATGTCCCAGGCATCTAGAGTCTAACATATGCAAAACTGAACTCGTGATTAGCTCCTCTAAATCTACTCTTCTTCCCAACTACCTAGATCAGAAAATAGTTCATTTGTCCAGTTGCTTAGGCTCCAAGCCTAGGAGTAATTCTTGAGTCTTCTTTTTCCCACAAACTGGCATTCCATCCAATAGTAGGCCCTGCTGATTGTCCCCAAAACAAATGGAATCTGAAGCCTCCTTACCTCCAGTCTGAGCACTTTTCTCCTTGTGAGACTCACCTTTAGTTTCAGGCCTCCTAACTAATCTTTCTGCTTCCTCTCTTGAGCTTTGTCGCTCTCACCCCAGTTAATCCTCCGTAAGATCAGACAGAGTGATCTTTTAAAATTAGAAAGGAGACTCTTCTCACTCCCCTGTTCAAACCCTCCAATTGCGTCTCACCACATCTAGAATAAAATCTGCAATTTTTACTAAAGACTGCAAGGCCCCACCTGACCTAGCTCTTGTCCCCGCACCCTAATCTTCTACTGCTCTGCTCCTTCCTTCTGGCTGGGCCGGCCACTCTGCATCCCCATTAGCAGGTCCTTGTACTTGTTCCTTTTGCGCGGAGCACACGCTCTCCCCTTTCTATCCATCTTTCCCTAGTCTAGTCTGTTACTCTTCTTAATTTTCTTTATGGCATTTATCTGCCTGACATTTATTGTATGTTTATTTGCTATTATTTGCCTGTTTTTAATTTCAAAATATCAACTCCTTGAATGTAGGGATTTTGCCTTATTTACTTCTATATTATCAGTGCTTAGGATAATGCCTGGCCTTGAACAGGCCAATAACTACTTGTTAAATGCATTAATGTCTTCGAAGATTTTAAGTTTCTTATTTTAGTCTTCAGATTGCTCTCGCAGTTTCTAGAGACAATTTCCATCTTTCTCTGGGTTGGAATTCTCCAATTTGTTGGGCTTGTGCTGAATTTCCTCACAGATTTTATATTTTTTGTAGTTTCTTATTCTTTGGGAATTATCTTTCATGGATATTTTATCATATAAATATGATACGGGGTTGTGGATTCCTTCTGCGTTGTGGATTTCTTCTTGTGGGGAATTTTGTGGTTGCTATTGCCCCAGCTTCCTGGGCACACCCTCACTGAACCAGATCTCAACTGTTTTGACTTGGGTTATGCACACTGCCTAGATAGCATACCTCTAGCAGGGCTCTGCACGCTGGGCAGATTTAGGTGTGGTCCTGTGGGGTGGCTCTGTTTTCATGCTTCTGGCAGATGGGTGAAGATATTTCAGGTCCTCTTCATGGAAAGGCAGTGTATTTTCTGCTTCTGGTTTTACTCAGGGTGGCCTATTCCTGTTCTCCACCATGTTGTGGCCTGAGGCTATGGCTGCCATCTGGGAGCAGGTGTTGAAACCCTGGCTGTGCTCCTCAGGCAAAACTGCTACCTCTGTTTCTTCATCTGTTCACCTTTCCTGTCAAGAGCTTAGCTTTAGCTTCTCTGCACAGTGTATTCCTATATTCAGTTTCTGCCCCTTGGAAATCACTCCACCATCCTTTTCTATGCTGAAATTTGTCTGTGTATTTTTAATTAAAGACAATTACCAGCCAAAACTAAGCCAGCCAAAAAGAAGGTGGCATAGTCCTCAATTACTTTGGCGTACATTTTTTCCTACTCCTAACCCCTTGGGTCTTGGATTTTTACATTTCTGTTCTGACTATCCTCTCTGATGACTCCACTGAAAAGGACACTATCCATCCAATTTGTATTCTGACTTGTAATTTCTAGCTGTAAAACCAATAATCCCTTCTGCTGACCACGGGTGAGCCCTGATCCCTGTTTCCAACTATAGAGCCTGTGCTGAGACATGCACACCTGGAGTTTCCAGCCTCATCCTTGGGTCTGGAGCACTGACTTTGTGTTTTTATCTGTGCAGTGAGACTATTTAGCTGACCAGCCCCTTTGCTCAGATCAGAAAGGATGTGTGAATGGGGACTTCAGAGGGACACCAGCTCATTTGGTGTTAACAGCTCCGATTCAACTCTAATACTTTTGTCAGGACAAATGCCTTTGTCCTAACATTATTGAAATCACTGAAACGTTATTATAAAAATTATATTATATTCAGAGTATGTTTAGATGGAAGTGGAGGGGAGTATATTTGCATGCATGCTTACAATTAGAGTAATCCAGATGTCTATCATGTTTAAAAATTGGGAAATTTTACCTCAAATCTGGATTAAGTGAGATGCTTTGGCAACTGTAGATTTGGCATTCTTGCATGGAGAAGTTGGCTGGAGCTAAGCAGTACCTAACCTCTTCAGTCTGCAGGTGTCCTCCCAGTTCTAAGCAGTTCTTAGGAGACTTACCTCACCTTATTCATTTACATTACCTGCCTGGGCTTTGTTGGCATCTGAAGTCTTAACCTCGACAGTAACTTTGAGTTTTAATGCGAATGTGATTTAATTTTAATCAGAGGAATCCCAAGGGATACTGGGTTTGCTTGGAAATCATTTGTAACCTAGGTATGAGAACCAGATTTGCATTCTAGAAAACTAGGACATAGTGTGAAAGGTTTCATGAATGCTATGTAAAATATCACCATTTTCAGTGCTTGATCTCATTTAAATATTGAGTCACTCTTGGTGTCTGTTACCTGGGAAATTGAGTTAAGAACAGAAATAATGGGAAGTCCCACAATTATGAATTAAAAAGGTTGTTTTGAGTCTTAATTTGGAGGACTTTGGGTTATGTGGGAGCAAATGGATATGAGAAACATGAGTCTCAATCTTTTGGGCACTTAGAAGTAGAACATCTAAGATATGAAAGAGCCTCCACATACGACCAGCTGAGAAATAAAGAACTTACTTGTGGTTCTCTGTGAAAGCACTAAAAAATAAGCAAAAAGAAATCCATTTAATTTTTTTCAAATAGCAAAAGCATATTATTATCTAGTATATTTTGCTATAGTCTGTGAGGGGAGGGCCTAGGAGGGCAAAGAGGGGAGCATCACAAACAACGGTATAGATTAGTTGCAATGCATACTTGGATGTAAGATTAGGCAGTGGTCTTGTGATGGTGAAGTCAAAGAAAGGGTTTTCTTAAAGGCCCTCTTCATTTATTGGACCCAAAGAACTTTGTTTTCTTAATTTTAATTTTTAATTTTTAACAATCCCTTCTAAATGAATGGACCTGAACAACTCCAGGTCTAGTCTTAGGTAAAGACCACTGGATTTTTCTGTTTCCTTTGAATCTTGAGAGAACATTCAAGGTCTTGCTCCATTTAAACATCATCATGGTCTTTCTATCTCTCTCTTTCAAAAATTCTGCTTACCTCTATTACTTCATAACATTCGTAGTTTTTTGTTAATAAACGCTAGCTTAGTCTTTATTTTAGTTAGTATTTTCTTAAATTATCTATAATGTAAAGCAACCTGTGTAATTAGGAAGCAAGAGAAGAATAAGAAACTTAAATCACTTTAACAGAAGTGAAGTGAAGGGGACCAAAGAGAACCAAAGTAGAGAAACAGGTATAATACTTACCTATAGGTGTCAGGGACGAACCTAAAATAACAAATCAGATATCGCTAAAGATTTATTTGAAAGGCACAAGGTTTTCTCTAGGGAGTCATATTTGTGTGGGGGGAAAAGCTTAGTAGTCACACAGATCTGGGTTTGAATTATGATTCTATGACTGTGTAATCTTGGGCAAGTATTTGACCTCAGTTTCTTACCCCTTACAAAGGAGGTAGTGGAGTTACCCTAAGAATTAAATGGGATAATATAATTAAAGGACCTATATAGTTTTTATAGGAGGCACAAAGTAAATATGTGTTTGAAATTAAGTAAGTGTAAGTGTACTTTACAGAGAGAAAGTAGATGAGCAGAGGCACAAAGGAAACTGGAAACTGAGAGTTTCAGGCTGCTACACACAGAATTAAAAATAAGCAAGGTAAGGACAGGCCCCTAGGCCTTGTACAAAACAACAGGAACAATAATGGGAAACAGTAGAAAACAAACTGAATTTATCACTGGGCAACAAAGGTGGACCAGCCGAAAAATAAAGAAGTACCTTATCAACTTTTCTCTCCTACTATTCCTACTATTTTTTTTACTTCTATTTAGAGAGTTTCTTCTTGGTAGGTCATTATAACAATAGAGAAAACTTTCCCTTTGGTATTTATTTACTTTAAATTTGAATTGGAAGAATCAGAATTTATAAAAAATTCACGGGATTTTTAGTAGTATGTACCCCAAACTCAGAAATCTTAGCACTGCCAGGAAAAAGAGAGACTCTAGGACCCAACAATGCTGGAAACATGGACTGATGGCAGGTAGACCTGATCCAACTGGTAAATAGAACAGAGAAAAAATTGTTATCTCCTTTTCCTTTCTTCTTTGTTCACATTTTTTTTTTCAATTTGTGAAGTCCTTCGGAATATATCATTTTGAACTGCTCAGAAACTTTCCTGTTTGCTCTTTATTTTTTATGTAAATCAGTAAAGTTTGATTGTTTTCCTATAATTATTTAAAAGCTGAGAGCCTAAAATCCCTATATGGTCAGGGATATTTTCCTCAGATATCTTGGAATTTAAATATGGAGAAACCAATCTGGTAGGGCAGGAAGTCCAAATGAAAAAGGGTTATAGAAACTTATTATCTATTCCTTTATCTTCTATCATTTTTTCCTTTTCTGTAGACAATCTCTTGTTAATGGTCTTTAAAACTATGTAATTTTTTTTCTCTGCTCTGCTCTTCATATTTTTGTAAATCAGTAGTCTTAGAACTTTTCAGTATGTCATGAATATCCTAAAAGTGTTTTGATAATGAGAGAGCAAGGGGCCAAGATGTACCTCAAGCCCTTTGTATCCCAGTATGGCCAGATAAAGACTCCTGGGCCCCACTAGAGACCAACTGAGTCCTGTGGGAGAGAATTAAATGAACACACAGACTTACTAACTACTCAAGGAGGTGATGTGGCTGAAAAACAAGCAGAGATTTCTTATTACTCCCTTCTTGTTTCCTTTCCTCATTTTTTTTCTAAATGATAGTGATGAATTTCCTAGTGATATACTTGCTTGAAAAGTTTTTCTGATCAGAGGCATTAGTATATTCCAGAAAACTAATTATTAGCTGGTAGAATTCTGGATAATGGTAAAGCAAAAGGCTAATAAAATAGGACTTTCAAGTTTCTCTATTAGAACTCGAGTTCCAATAGACATCACTGGGCTTCGATAAATGCACAGCAGAGAAACAAACAACTTACTAATTGCTTGTATAGATGACTCAGCTGGAAAACAGAAATGTTATCTGTATCATTTTCTCCTATTCCCTTTTTTATTTTCCATTTGGAAAATTCCTAACTGACAATATTTAGAACCATGGAGAATTTTTTTCTCTAATCTTTTATTTTTATGTAACTCAGTGGATGTTCTATAAACTTATTAATAAGGTAGTAGAGTTCTGAGTAATAGAAAAACAAGGGGTCAAGGCAATTGGAACTTTAAGCTATTGTATCCCAACATAGATAGATAAATTTTGGCTTAAGAAGTATTAGATATTGCTTGAGACAATTGAGTTTCATCACAAAGGGAGCTAGTTGAACTTACAAGACGATTCTGTACCTGAAAAACAAAAGAGGAAAATCAGTGTGGACAGGCTGGTGGAAAAGGAGCTAGTTTTTTTTGCTACTCTTCTGAGAGGAAATATGAGAAATGGCAATGGAGGAACTCCTCAATGGAGGGGCATAGAGTGCTGTGCTGGGGAATACACCTGCCATCATGCCTTGGGGGCATTCTGCCTCCTACTTAGTATGGGGGTGCTGCAGGAAAGGGAGATGATTTATCTCTTCCCTTTCTGCAGTGACTGGTAACTGCTTGAAATCCTGCAGGGGATTGGTAATTTCTTTAAACTGTGTTGCCTTCACCTTTCTTCTATTTCTGCCATCCTGTGCAAGCTTTCATTCATTAATACAAATATCCTCCCCTTCCCTTGTTGACAAGTCAGTATAAACTTTGGATAGTTTCATCTGATCTCTATATTTTGGGTTGATCAATGGGGTTGGTATTTTCCTTTATTCATTGCTTTCAGGGGCAGCCCCTAGATTGTAGAATAAGCAAAAGAGATGGAGGAACATGAGTTTCTACACATACAGGACAGAAACAAGTAGGGAGGAAAAGGATCCTGGACCTTTTCCTTCTGGCTTTGGGAAGCCAAAGGCAGCTATCATATAAGAACAGACATGGAACTTACTGGTCGTTTCTGAAGTTTCAGCTGATGGAAAAATGGAAGGAAAAAAGAAAAGGAGAAATCAGCTTGTGTAAAACCAAGAGAACTCAATTCTCCCATGATAGGCTTAAAAGGGTAACTGCAGAGAAAATGCAGGGTCTCTAAAACCTGCCTGTTAGCTTAGTACAGTGTCTGGGCTTAAGTGCCCCACTTTGCGCTTTGCACCCCGAAGCCTATTTCTGCTGGTCTGGAAAAGGAGAGTGGTGCTAAAGTGTTAAAGTGAGGCTTTGTTCATCCTTCTGATTCCACTGGAGGGTGGTACATGCTTGAAATACTTCTAGAGGTACATAATGTCTTGAACTTGTACTTCTATGTACTTTCATCATTCTCATTTTCTTAAATCACTTTTTCCTACTTAACCTGCTAATTGATTTAAAGTCTTTTTTCTACTCCTTCTCTTTACTAGGTCTGTTGGGAGCCACTACTTTTTGTTAAAGTCTTTTAAATTTTTTTTTATTACTTAAAGTTAAATAGGGCAGACAACTTTTCTAATAATGATTATAGCAGTTTGTCAATAATCATTAGAAGAGCTTTTCACACTAAAGATGTAAGAGGAGGTCTGGAGAAGGACATAAGAAATGAGCAAGAACACGAAAGAAAGATGACCAAAAAAGTGAAATAAGAACGATATAAGGAAGAAAGGATAGGGAAGGTGAAAAAAGTAATGCAATTGAGAATTTCACTCCATCACCCTATAATGAAAAGCAAGAATGAAGTGGCTATCCTTCTAACTAAAACATGGTTTAGATCTATTTCTTAGCAGTGCAATAAGATGTTTAATTCTGAATAGCAGATTTAGTTATTCCTAAGAAAATCTGCTCATCTTTAGAAAACATCAATGGTATCAAGTATTTTTTAATTCAACAGCACAATAATTGTTGTTTTTATTTTTAGTACGATATACTGACCAGTGGTAAGTACCTTATCAATTTTTTCACTTCTGGGTTCCTTGATCTTCTACAATGTCTAGAGTGCTTATTCCTTGCCTAAGTGTGTCTGTTGCCATGAGAGCAGTGGTTTTAGGCATGTTTTCATTCACAGTTTCTGCCTCTCCAGGGCTATTTTAAGAAAAGGTAAGAATAGCAGGCTGAGGCAGGAGAATCACTTTAGCAAGAGGAGTTGGTGGTTGCATGAGCTATAATTGCACCACTGCCTTCAGCTGGTGAGCAGAGCAGACCTGTCTCTAACACAAAAGAAAGAAAAGCAGTAAGAAAATCCCCCCAGCAATAGTCATGATGCTTATACAACAATAATAGAAGAATTTCCCAAAGTAAGAGAGAAAGAATAAAAAGGGCAGCTTTTCAGTTCTGAAGTGCTTGTGATTCTAAAAGGGCCTACTCAAGGATAAAGCAGACAATGTAAAGAGAATGAGAAAGCAATTTTAGAATAAATGTAAAGGGGAAAAAAACATAAATTTAAGTAGACTGAGTCTTATCAGTTTTGATGCAAGGGTCTACCAGGAAATACTATTCAGGGTCTAGTCTAACCTGAGTTTACCAGTCTTCTTCCCCAAACCTTTCTCTTTTCTCATGTCCTATCCTGCTTCTCCCCCACCCCATGATACCCTCACCCTCTCACCACCCCACACACACGAAATAAAAAGAAGACCAAGAACATTCATGGAACAGAATATGACAGTCCTTGGGCTGCAATTACAATAATTGGCAGAAGCATCAGGCACACTGCAAATCCTATGTGAAAAGAAAAAGAAAAAAGGAAAGAAAAAGCAAGTCATATTGTAACATATCTAGGGAAAAACCAGTGTCAAAATTGAGGGTGTCAAAACCAATCCCTGGGCATGGGAAATTCTGAGTCAGAAAGGAAGTGATGCCATTCCCAAGTTAAGCCAAGCAGAAGAAATTATCCTATAGCCAGTTTCTTTTACCTGAGCTCCTACCATGTGTCAGATGCTGAGCTGAGCACTAGAGCTAAGCTATGAATAAGAGAGAGAAAGAAGAGGTTGGTCTCTAGTGCCATGGAATTTACAGTCCTACAAGATATCTTGGGAAAAACAACTCAAAATCTTGAGAAGGCAGACAGCACCCCACATGATTATACTATGAAAAGCTGGATGTTTCCTGTCCTGAATGCTGATTCTAAACATCCTTCTTATGAATGAATAAGAACCATCACTTATTAACCATTCCCCTGAATCAAGGCTGCCTCTCTAGGTACTCATAATTATTGCCAAGACCTACTTCCTTAAAAGGTCTCAAAATCCTTACAGGGAGCCAAAAACTTAGAAACCAGCCCACCTGAGAGGATCTCACTGGGGCTAGAAGAAGGCCCAATCCATCTAAAGTCCCCTAAGACCCACCACATAGCAGAGAATCTATGTGGATGCATTGCCCTTCTTTTCTCCTCCTGTTCAACTCCCTCCCCCATGTGTAACACTTTAAAAATATAACAATATAGAAATAAAATATATTGCTATTTTTATTCCTTCCTGGATTTCACCCTAATTATAGGAGATTTGGAGAGAGTGCAAAATGCACTGATTAAAATTTAAAAGACTCGGCCAGGCACGGTGGCTCACGCCTGTAATCCTAGCACTCTGGGAGGCCGGCGAAGGATTGCTCAAAGTCAGGAGTTCGAAACCAGCCTGAGCAAGAGCTAAGCATCTCTATATAAATAGAAAGAAATTAATTGGCCAACTAAAAATATATAGAAAAAATTAGCCGAGTATGGTGGCGCATGCCTGTAGTCCCAGCTACTCGGGAGGCTGAGGCAGGAGGATTGCTTGAGCCCAGGAGTTTGAGGTTGCTGTGAGCTAGGCTGACGCCATGGCACTCTAGCCCGGGCAACAGAGTGAGACTCTGTCTCAAAAAATAAATAAAAAAAAATTTAAAAAACTT